GGCGAGAGCGTGTGGGGCGAAGCTCTGCATTTCTCACTGGCTTTGCCCTCGCCCAGGGCTGTCCCCCGGGCGCGGTGGGGGCTTCTCCCCCACCAGCCTTCTCGGGAGGTGCTCCCTGGGTTCGTGCCGCTGCTGCTCTTACTCTTCCTCCCCTCTTTTTAACGCTCGGCACGCAGAGCAGTGATGCTTTCGATGCTGGCTCACCAAGGCTTAACTCGTTATACGGATGTTTTTTGTATTAGACTCCAGTGGGAAGACAGCCGATTGCGTTTCCCTTTCACCCGAGGACAACTGTGGCAGTCCATCCGTGATGCAGGGAGGGAGCACGGTCAAGCCCTGGTGAGGGGAGCCAGGCTAGGGCTGTGCCAGCCCGCTCCCAGGCCTGCCACCAGCCTGCTGGGTGACCTTGGGCAAGTCGCTCTGCTTCTCCATGCCTCAGTTTCCCTATCTGTAAAATGGGGATGGATAATAATACTGCTCTACCTCACAGGGGCTGTTGTGAGGCTTCCTTGGCTAACATTTGTAAAGCACTTTGAGGTCCTCGGATGAGGGGTGCCACAGAAAGCCAGAGGGTCTTTGCGAAGGGTACCTGCAGCAGGGGCTCGGGCAGAGCAGTTGCCTTCCCAAGGGCTGTAGCAGGACGTGAGACATGAAGGGAACGAGCTGATCCGACAACTGAAGTTGGTGATGTCCTTTAGAATGAGATTTGTTCCCTGTTTCTCCGTTATTTGTGAGTATCTGTGAGTGAAGCTGCAGGACAGGCAGCTCCCCTGTCCCCACTTGAAATTGGGAATCGGAGCCGAGCCCTGACGTCCCTGGCTGCGGGGGCTTGCACCCCAAGGGGTGCCAGAGTGGCAGGTAGGCAAGGATTTGGTGGGCAAGGCAAAGAAGGAAAGGTTCGGCACTGCCTTCTGTGGAGACGGTGGTGGGAGAGGTCGGAGCCCACCTGCCCGCTCTGGGGGCGGTGGTACCGAGGGCACCATACAGCCTGCTGGCAGGCCCCCCCCCCCGGGCCCACGGGCCCCCACCGGAGCGGCGAGGCCGTGCATTTGAGACAGGAGACAGGCACGGGCATGTGGCCCCAGGCAGGTTTCCTTGGCTGCTGGTTAGACAGGCAAGTGGGAGCCGGGTCTCCAGGATCCCTGTCCCCTCTATGAGGATCCATGGGACCCTCAGGCAAATCACTTGACTTCTCTGTGCTTCAGTTTCTCACCTGTAGAACAGAGACAGGAAATCTGACCTGCCTCACCGGAGGTGTGAGGCTCCCTGCATCGCTTTGCCAAGTGCTCCGAGATCCTGGGGCGAAAGGCACTCTGTAAACACGAAGTATCGTTAACGTACCATTGTCACGCGTGAGTCTGGGCAGGAAGGCGTGAGACCTCCCAGTTGCCCCAAGAGGCCCCCCAGCCCACCCTTGGAGGAGACGTCCCGTGGGAGAGGACGGTGAGGGGAGGAAGGGATTTTTTTAAAGAACTATTTTTAGCTGTCCTAACCTGTTGGCCTTTTTTAGACGGTATCCGGACACAGTCCCACTTACCACAGGATATGCAATGCTGAACTATGCATGGATTACTCCTCTGGCTTGATGGAAAAAGTCAACATAACCAGTTTTTGAAATGTCACTCTATATATATGCGTGCAGGTGCTGTATGCCGCGCAGGGGACTGCGGGGGAGCAGGCTGGCTTCTGCCAGCGGCCGCGGGGTCCCTGCCATCACAAGGGCTTTGGGGGGTCTGCGGGGGCTTTCTGGGGCACGCAGGGGAGAAGGGCCTGCCGGAGGCGCGTGCTGCGGCAGACATGTATGTGTATGAGCATATAGAAATACACGTAGGAGATACCTGCGAATAAACACAGCATGTGTTCAACATGCTGTGTGACAACTTACAGCACATTTTTGCACTGTAGAGGTTTAGTTAGCTTGGCCTTGAATGAAATAAACTTTATGTTTACTAGAGAAACTCGCTGCAGTTTGGGTTGCTGTGGGTGTCTGTTCAGGCTTACCACGAACTCCCCGGGCGCGCGCTGCGCTAAGGCGAAGAGCAGCGGCGTTTCCTGCATGGGCTGTGTCCGTTCCCTGTAGCTGCTTGTCCTGGGTGCGTGACTGCCAGTGTCCTGCTGCTCCCCCGGACACTCTGGGGCGAGGGCTGGGTGCTGCTTCCACGAGTGTGCATTGCCCACTTCAGCCCAGGGGCTGCGGGTGCCTGGAGCTGGGGAGCCAGCCCGGCATGGGCCACGGGACGGGGCAGTAGGGCCACCTTTGGAGGGGTAGCGTTTGTAGGGTGCTTGGAGGGGGGGCGGTTACCAGCACAAAAGGCTCCGAGTGCAGCTGCCTGGCAAGCAGGATCTCTCCCTGCCACATCGCGTGGGAACGGCCCTGATTTACGCTGGGGCCGAAGCTGCTCTACAAAAAACAGATGTAAAATAACACCTAAGGTCCTCGTTTGTTAACAATAATTTAAACTGACCCCGTTCTGATGAGCTTGGCTGCCTGAGCGGCCGAGGTCCACACAGCACTTTCTTCCTTGTGTGCAGGAACAGCTGGTTCACAAGAGCCAGCAAATAAGCTCTGCCTTGTGCTGGGAAAGCAGCTCCAGCAAACAGCACGGCGTGCTGCGAAAAATACCCCTGCAAGCAAGAGGGACAAAGCCTTCGGAGGCTGTGTGAAAAAACAAATACTTTCTTTTAATGGGGATACTCTACAGCACAAACATCGTTTCTCTCTGTACAACAGTAGTGAGCAAACAGCAGTGAGCCTTCCTGCCA